CGATTAACACTATTTATTATATTGTGGTGATGTTGTGTTTTGTGATGCTGTTTTAATTGAGTGAGTTTATTTAAATTGTTATTTTCTAATCTTTTTGTTATGATATTTTTGCGCTAATTTTGTAATATTTTTATCAGATGTAATATTGTACACTGAGGAACCCCTAGTAACAAAATAACGGGGTTAAAACCCACTAAAAAGAAACGTCGCAGGAGGGATGTTTCGCCTCGCTCGGACAGTGATTGGGAACCGCGGGTAAAGGTACGTAGAAGCTACCACTTATCATCCAACGAAGAGGATGAGGAACAAACCGCCAAGTCCGTGGAGGACGAAAAACGTGAGTGGCAGTGCGTCACTCCGAGCGCTGAACAGCTAACGAAGGTGTTTAGTAAAAAAACTGGCGGTAGAATTGGGCAAAGTAAGCCAGCCCGAACAGCCAACAGTAACACCAACGGTTATTGAACAGGAAGATGAAGAACCACCCGTAACCATCACAGACAACACAGAGAGGTGGATTATGGACGTCATGGAAGAAATAGAAATCCCTTTGGTGACAAACGACCCAGGGGACGAGTTGGAGAACCTAGACTCAATAGAAGTTCCTCCAACGGAAGAACTCCTCTTAGAGCCCAGTTTGGCGGGGGCCGTGTCACCAGGGCCCCAGGAGGGGTCCCAGCCGGAACAGGAGGAGCCACAGTCAAAGGAACAGCAGGAGAAGCCAGCGCCAGAGGAAAGGTTGGTGGAGATCCCGCAGGAAGCTGCGAAGAACGGTGCGGAAAATATAGAGACAATAGCAGAACCTTAATATTAAGAAAAGATGTTATGTTTTTTGTTAAAGCCAGAGAGGTGTAAGGCCAGCAGGGCAGTTAATTTTAATTAAGAGTGGTTTTTAATTTTTAGTTTTTTTTTACATATATGTACAAACAGCAAAACCAAAGTCGAGTTTAAGGAAAGATGTGGTGTGGGTTGTTAAGGCCAGTGAGTTGTAAGGCCAATGAGATATGTATTTTGTGTTAATGTTCAATTTTATTTTATTCACACCAAGAGACACTTCTATGTTAGTCTTGTTAAGTAACGGGCCTGAAGGGCAACGGCGTATTCATTTTGTTTTAAGGAGTAAGTTTAGGTGTTAAGAGAAAGGTTTTTTTTCCCCCCACTCAAACACGCAAACACAAACACATTAATTAAAAACAAATATACACGCGATTCAAACCACACACACTTGTAGGGTACACACAAGCAATCATAAACCTTAAGGACGACATTCGACCAATATAAAAAATTACACCCATAGTGAGCAACAATAGATCCAAACACACACACACGACATAGGAACACACACACACGCACATGATCACATTAATACACACATTTATTCCTACATACTCACAGCCACGCATACATACAAGTTTCCAAACACACACCCTTAAGGATCCTAACACGCACCATTCACACTTTACATTCATACCAGTTCACACACACACATGTTCAACATTTAATAAACACGTTCACACAAAACACAAAATTAAGACACCACATTTAGGCACACAAACAGTAGTTATACATACATTCCAAAACTACAAAAATCCTTCCTTAAGGATTATAAATAAACACCCGGAGTGGGGAGAGCGCAGGCGCGAGACGCGAGCGGACCTGCGTGAGAGGCAGTTGATCACAAGCGCTCGTGACGTGCGGACGGCGTAGCGTTACGCGAGCGAATAAAAGCTTGGGAAAACTCGTTTAATGTATTTTTCGTATAAAATAAGTTTGCGAAGTACAAATAGTTCATAACGTTATATCGAACGAAGGAGTTGTGAAAGTAAAATTACCTGAAAAGGAAAATAAATATATTAATATACGTTTATAATAAAACAATTGAGTGTAATTGTGTTAATACGTATCCTGGTGTATCCTTCATCCGTCCGAGGAATCCTGATCCGTGTAGAAATCCTGGAGACCTGTAGGAGTATCCTGGGAACATCCGGAACGGCGTCGGGACCTGTAACAGAAAGCATCGAAAGAATCCTTGTCCGTTGGAGGATAAACGGACTGGGGACCGTTTTTACTGTGAGTACACAGCATATTTTCCAAAGAACCCCGGTCACAACCTAACCTTTTTGTTTTTTTGTTTTTTTTACGAGGGGAAATTCTTTATGGATTCCTTCACTCATGGGAAATGAGCGAAGGATATGCGGGACTAGCTGTCCGAGTCCAGGGCCCCCGCCGGCATCCAACCACCCTCCCGCCGGGGAGGAAGAGAGGCCCACACTCAAGAGGGGGAATCCTCCCCCACCACCACCCGACGCGAAGCCCGAAGCACGCCGGCAGCCCCCCCAGACAGGGCAAGCCTACCCGCTAAAACCCCTCGATGTCCCTCAGTCGCGCCAACTGAGCAAGGGACCAGCGGACATCGGAAGATATTACTTGCCAGCCCCCCGCCTTACACATGCGCGCACGATCCTTTTGCTACAAGGATCACTTACTTAAATTAAGGTGGCAAACCTTTTCACTTTTATTTATTTAAAGATACACCATACCTTCTTAATAGGCTGCATTCTTAGGCAATTGCCAACCCCCTATTGACAAAGCCAACAGCCCAATTTCAGAAAAGAGGATAAGAGGGAGAGGGGGACATTTATTCTACAATATCCATCCCATATTCCTCACCCCAGTTATTACTTATTTAAAATGTTTACCATTATGCATTAACAATAGGTAAATTTGTCATCCTTCTTCTGTTGCGTCTTCCTGGTAAGGCAACCTGCCCTTGCCGCTCACGTTCTGCTTCCTCCTTTTGTAAAAGGATCCTGCCCGCAAATTGCGCAACTGCTTTCCATTCATCAGGACCCGTAATCATAGCAGCAACTGCTGATTTCATGGTAACCGATTCCAGCACTAGTTTGAGTCTTAAAATCTCACGTTCTCTTGACCAACTTATGCACTCTTCCCAGGTATGCTTCACGGTGTCAATCTCTACCCTACAGTGGGAGCAACGTTCCGATTCAGCCTTACCAATCCTATATAAATACTCGTTAAAGCATCCATGGCCCGTTACCATTTGCGTGAGATGGAACGTCATGGATCCGTGCTTTCTTGTCATCCACTGTTCAAAGATGGGGAAAACTATATCCCTGGTAACTTTACCAGGTAGATGATCCGCACAAAGTTGATTATGCTATTTTTCTCTTAAGTTGGCAGCTTCATTATTTTTCACTAGTGTATAATCTAAAGTGTCATCTGTTCGGACACTATTAAAGATTCTAGCTCGCATATTGGCCATAAGTTCTAAAGGAGGTGCCCTAGCCAGTAGTTGTACTACGTCAGCAGAGATCGTACGATATCCGCTGACAACCCGGTTCGCAATCAGCCTTTGCACAACTCTGCAACGATTTATTGCCTTTTTATTTCTGATTAACTTTTCCGCCCATACCGGTGCTCCGTATAAAACCACAGCCTGGAAGACATACAAATAGAGCCGCCGTCTTCCTTCTCCAGGTCCGCCTATATTGGGCATTATGCGCGACAATGCAGTAACAACCTTCTGTCCTTTGCTTATCATTGCCTCGAAGTGGCCCCCAAAGAACCATTTATCATCTAGGATAAAGCCAAGATAGGATATAGTGCTCTTAGCCATAATACTGGTTCCATTGAGCTCAACACTTGCGAAACGAGCTTTAGCCTTGTTATTACGGAAAATGACAACTTCCGTCTTTTCAGGGGCAATTTTTAGCCCTATTGAGCCCACAAGTCTACCAACGGCCTCAAGACCGCGGTTAGCTATTATTATTGCCTTATCGATGTCTGCTCCACCAGCTGCCAGTAGCGTGTCATCCGCATAACAAAAGACGCTACAGGAAAGAGGAACCTGCAGCTTCAACACTTGATCATATGCTAGGTTCCATAAAAGAGGACCCAGCACAGATCCCTGGGGTACTCCACATGTGATCCTCTTCTTTTGTAGTTCTCCATAAGAATCAACATATGTTATGAATCTATCTCTCAGGTAATCCGCGATAATGTATTTCACATACATTGGCAGTCTCCAAATAAAAGTGGCGTCTCTAATCACTGGCCAAGGTAATGAATTAAACGCATTTTTTATGTCCAGTGAGACAGCTACACATACACCTTTCCTAGCAGTAAAAGGGGAAGAAAAATTTTTCAAAGCCAGGACTGCATCAGACGTTGACTTTCCCTTACAAAACCCAAATTGCCTGGCTGAAAAGCCACCTCGAGCATCAACGCAGGACATGATTCTGCGTGCAATTACACGCTCAAACACCTTGCCTACGTCACTAAGTAAGCAAAGCGGACGATAGGATGACGCCAACCCAGGCTGCCTACCCACCTTAGGAATCAGAACTAGCCGTGCCATTTTCCAACGGCTAGGAAAACAGCCTTGTTGTATACATACGTTATAGCATCTGACCAACCGGTCAGGGACAACAGCCATCATGACCGAGATCACGCTTGTAAATATCCCATCCGGGCCAGGCGCTGAACGACGATTCTTAATTTCTTTTTTTGCATCCCTGATTTCGCTAGCTGTAACATAGCTATCTATGTCCTCAAAAAGAGGCATTTCTGGACGCCTGTTTTCCACATCATGGTGTTTTGGAAAAAGTTCGTCGATAACAACATCAAGTTCTCTTTGTTCCAGGGTCTCGGTAACTGCCGTTGTCATGCCCTTCAGTCGCTTCATTACCATGCGGTATGGCCTTCCCCATGGGTCCTGGTCCAAAGTCACCAGCAGTTTATTCCAGGCTTTCTTCTTAGCTTCGGCAATTGCAACCCTGAATTTACGTTGTTCCTGCCGAAGACCGACTCTTGTTATTTCCGCGTCTACAATGTTCTTACGCCTACGAAATTTCACCATTCTCCGCCTCAATGCAATACATTTCTTGCGTATTTCCGCTAGATCACTGTTCCACCAGTACGTTTGTCGTCTGCAGGGGAGTCTTTTTGCACGTGGAGCAGCAACATCACAAGCCTTTTCCAGCAACTTGCCAAGTCTGTTAGCCGCATCCTCAGGCTCACAATGCATCGGCTGTGGGCACAACCAGTCTTTAAGGGCTATAGCCGCTCTAAGTAGATCCCAGTCTATACTATTGAGAGACCACCTGGGAAGGCCCGCCTGGTTTCTATATCCAAAGCCCCCGCCTCGAACAAGGGCAGGCAAATTTAACTTTGTCTCTATGATAAAATGATCCGACAAAGATTCTGTCTCAGCCCTCACTTTCCAGTTAACAATCTTACCGGCCATATCAACACTACGCCATGTGAGGTCGACAATGGAGACTCCTTGGGCCCGTGAACACGTGGGAGTGGTGCCAACATTAAGAAGAACAAGATCCAGGGAGAAAGCCCATTCCTCAACAACTTCTCCTCGTAGATTTGTGCGTTTAGATCCCCAGTTAACTGAGGCCGCATTGAAATCCCTCATGACTATAAGGGGGGACGGACCTGTTCTTCGTATGCTGTCCGCTAGCCTATCCAGGCTGTCTTCGAAGTTAGTTCGGCGCTCATTGGGGGGAAGATATACGCTGTATATACGAAGCTTCCCGATCTTGATTTCAACGAACCCAGGCCCCCTTTCAATAAGACAAGCTACTTTTTTGCATTGCTGCAAATTCCAATAGATTGCCGCCAAGTTCTCCAAATCTCCGAATCAGTAACAAGAATCTGGAACAGAATGCGGTTCCGCAATACATGCTAGCGCAGCTTTGGCCTCCATCATATGCTGGACAAGCAAATCCTGAGCAGCCCGAGAGTGATTGGTATTAAGCTGACACACTAGCATAACTCCATAGTGGCCAGTTCCTCTCTTCCTGCTGGGCCCCCACCAGCAGTTGCAGCGACCTCCGTATTACCCGTTTTATCCACGCCCGTAGTACGTCTGTTCGGTCTCCCCACAGCTGTTTTAGCCGCACACTTATCCGTGCCGACCGTATGGTCTGCAGTCAGTCCATACAAAACACAGACCGGGCACCGAACACGATTTACACAGGTCAGGGCTTTGTGACCCGGCTCGCCACACTTATAACAGAGGTTACCTCTATCAACAGAGCTTGGGCATGTAGACCTAACATGGCCGAATTCCAGGCAGCGGAAACACTGCAACTTCCTAGGGGGAAGCAGTATTACCCGCGCCGATGTCCAACCTAGCCTAATTCTCCCAGCCTTGGCCAGGGCCTGGGCCGCATCTATCGGACATTGAATCCACACCGCACACAAGCCGCTTGCCATCAGCTTAATAAGTCCAATTTTAACGTCGTCTTTGTTACATTTTCTAATGCCTATTATCTGAATGGCAATTTCCTCCTCAGTTACCGAATCATCGAAATCTACAATTCGTAACTCAGCCCGCTTTGAGGGAACCGTGATTCGAGCCTCTTGTCCGAGAACTCGCTGCAATCTTGTAGCTGCCGCGCCTTCTCCTTGCTTTCTCTGCCCGGAATCTGTATGAGTAATCCACCAGAAATATCTCTTCTAATTCTGGTGTCGCCCAGATTCAGTTGCTCCAGGCTTACTTCTCGTCGCGCCTTTTTCATAATATCAGCATAGGATCTTCCTCCATCCGGTATCCTTATGGCCACTGCCGACGAGCGCGGGGGGCGAATACGAGGCTGACTTTGACCTCCCCGTACAGCGGGAACTTGCACAGCCGAAGGACCTACCTTCTCCGGTTTCCTGTCACGGAGTCGTCGCCTGTTTTTCCCGTTCGTTGGCCGCATTGGGACGAACTGGAGCCCCCACCCCAGCTCGTCGCGGTTGCACAGCAGTGCCTTCCCTGGGTGAACGGTTCCACCCAGGGACCGCTGGTGCCCATCTTGTGGCATTTGGGTGTGACTGAGCGGCGGACTACTCAGGGGACCCGACTCCTCCACGAGCCCGTCGCTCCTCTCCCCCTTTCCTACGTGGGAAGGGGGAGCTACTGTCACCGTGGTCTTTGGCCCCCAGGACGAGCGCGGGAAACGGGGGCCCCGCCACCCGCTCGCGCCCGCCTGCGAGGTCTCCCTAGAGGGAGGGGTAGTCTCTCCTTCTCTCGCTCGGCTTCCTCCTTNTGCTCCATCACTGTGGAGCAAAAGGAGACCACCGCTTCCCACACGTCTTTGTCCCTGGAGGCCAACGCCCGCAGCATGCCCTCCAGGGACAAATCATTTCCTATTTGCGCGACCAGCGCTCGGCGTTCAGTGGCCCACCGTGGACATTCTTCCACGGTGTGCTCCACCGAGTCGCTGGCCGCTCCACACTCGTGGCATTGTGCCGTTGGTTCGCTCCTAATACGACACAGGTACTCACCAAAGCAACCATGCCCGGTAAGCACCTGCGTCGCTCGGTAAGTGAGGCGTCCGACCCCGTTCTCCAGCCACACCTCAAGGTGGGGTCGGAGGACCCGGACGACTTCCTGGGCGGCCACGTTGGGCTCGTCCAGGAGCTGCTCCCAGTCAAGGAGCATTTGTCGCCGGGCCTGGCGCTTCGACTCGGCGAGGGCCTCTTGCAGGTTGTCCACTGCAAGACCCTCCTGCTGCAGCAATTCGACTTGGCGAGCGTACCTCGCCGAGTACATGCACGCAAGGAGGGCCAATGGAGGCATCCCCGCCAGGACGCCCGCCGTCTCTGTGGCCACCGTGCGGAAGCCGCTGATGACGCGAAGGGCTGCCACTCGCTGGGCAGCGCGGAGCGTACCAAATTTGCTCCGTGCCCCGGCCCTTGCCGCGACTTCCGCCCACAACGGTGCGCCATACAGGGCCACCGAATGGACCACATTCGCAAAGAGACGGCGGACTTTCATCCTCGGGCCGCCCAGGTTCGGCTGGATGCGCGCGAGCGCATTCGCAACCTTGCAAACCCTGGGGGCCAAGCGAGCGAAATGCTCGCCGAAGCGCCACATCGGGTCGAGGTGAATACCAAGGTACTTGATGGTTGTACCTATTTCGACCCGTGCCTCACCTACGGAGAGACTGTGTCCTACGGGCCGCCCACGACAGGGGCCATGGAACCACATGGCCTCCGTCTTGAGGATGGCGACTTCGAGACCCAGTCTCTCAATGCGACCAACGACACAATTAGTGCCAC